TACTATAACGGCTTACAAAGCGGCCATACTTTATTGTATAAATCCGGCTAGCATATTTTTCTCAGCATTATATTCAGAATCTATGTTTGCGTATTTAACATTTTACGTTATGTTCGGAAGTATCAAGTGTATATCTAACATCTATTTTCCATTGGCTTTATCAATTTTAGTGAGATCAAATGGTATCATCAACATTGGTTTTCCTATATATTTCAGGCTTAAGAATTTGTGTAATTCAGAAAGAATAGAAACACATGGACGAAAACATAACGTACTATCAATGTTATGGCATATTTTAAAATTAATGAAATTAAATACCTATTTTACTATATTGAGCATAATGATTAAATCGCTATTTCCATTTGTCCTTTTACAATTATACAATTATATGAAATTCTGTATTTCTACATATGATAAATCATTGCCAGTTCACATTTTACAATATGCTGTAGAAAATAATCTGATTCTAGCAGGTAAAACAGATTCAATATGGTGTAACGCTAGTGTGCCTTTAGCATATTCGTATGTGCAAAAGACATATTGGAATGTCGGATTCCTAAGATATTATCAATTCAAACAAATACCGAATTTTGTTTTAGCTCTTCCGATATTGTACATTACTTTGCAATGTATAAAAGAATTTGCTAGTGAATATAGAGATGAATTATACTTGTTAGGCTTTTTTGATAGCAAGGCAAAAAGCAAAAATATTAAAGTAAAAAAATATCCATCGAGTATGTTTGTTTTTATAGTACATGGATTATTTTTAACCATGTTTTGCTTATTCTTTGTACATATCCAAATTAGTACACGTTTATTAGCCTCTGCAACTCCCTTGATGTATTGGCACTGTGCATTAATCATATCTCACAAATGTACCAATCATATCGACTTACAGTATGAAAGTGACGAAAATATGTGCTCTAAATGGAAAGTATTTTTCTTATATCAAAAACAATATACATTGCAAGATAAATTTATATTATTTTACTTTATAGGATATACAATCGTAGGTTGTTTTATGTTTTCAAATTTTTTGCCATGGACTTGATATATATTTTATATAAAATGTGTGCTTCCTTTCTGTCTCTTCATTTATTTCTGTTGCAAGAACGTTGCTAAACTTTTTCAAATGTATATGCAAAGAATAAATCTTTATAATCAAAAACTGTTTGCGAAGAGTACTAAAATATTTATTCTATATAAATATTTAAAAGAATACAACTATTTTTTTATGAATTTTGAAATACATACGTATAAACATTTTCTACATTGTAGATAACATGTATATATAGAACTCTATCAATATAGGCGCATTACGCTAATGAAATATTTATATGTATACCTCTAATAAATAAAAGAAGAATCCGTTATATGTGAAACATTATTTCTAATAAACCATATATTCCATTTATGACATTTATACAATAGAAATTTTAACTTGCTTTAATATGCAATTTTTTATGCTTTAATATTTCGATAGGTGTAAGATATAACGTTAGCAAACAATTAGGACATTCGTATGCTTGAGTATTAGCTTTATGTGTACTATTTTTAATTTTTGCATCAACGGTAATCATATCTGCAATTTTACAAGAGTTCTGATGTTGGAGTTTTTCAATACTCGACAGGATTGCTTGGAGATTACAATTTTGACAATGCCATTCGGTTTCTCGCATTTCTGCAATTAATTCTTCACTCCAATTGGTTTCTTTTATACTGTAATGTAATAATTGAAGTTTCATTAATGAAAACAATGATCTTTGTATTATATTAATTAATAATTAATTTTACATTTTATACAGCAATAGCAACTTAGCAAATTATATTTTTATTATATAATTATATGTTTTTTTGTACTCACCAATTATATGTAACACTATTTGTTACAAAAACTCCACCTTTAATTGTATTTGGTATACTTTTAAAATCGAATTGGAAAGGATTAGGCTCTATACTCGTATCATTACAACCATTACCAACATATATCATTTTTAGATCAGCAGGTAACAGTCGTTTTATGGTATATGGTATCATAGTATGCATATATTCAATCAGTTCTTGCGTAAGACATTGCTCAACTTTACTAAAATCTTTTCTTTCATCATTAATGTCATTGGATCCTATATAAGATATATATTAATTTTACTACAATTTAACATTCTAGAAAAATGTACATACACAACTTATTTGTAAATGCATTTATTACCTTGCAATTGCTGGTTTAATAAAAAATCCCACTTATTTCTTAATTTGATAGCTTTCATCAACAAAATTTGGCCACTATCAGGCACAGGAAATTCTAACATAAGCCACAAATCGCATACTATTCTACAAGATGTAAAAACAATTTTATCTTATCATTAAACTATTACTATCTTATTAAAAAATTATGAATTAAGAAAAAAATTTACAAAGGTAATGTATTTACATAGAGAATGTACTATTTGTATCTATTTCATGTGTAAATAATAGCAACGTTTGTGCGGCAGGCATTCTT